GACATATTTCCTTGTCTGCAAGGGCTGGAGCTCCCTCGCGGGGCACCGGCGCACACGTGTTACGCTGTTTAGAACGGACAGCACGGACAGACACCGCGGACGAGAAGCAGGTTTACCTCGATTTCCTGATAGGAGCTGTTAATCATGGCGATTAGCATGTTGAGTAAAACGACCACCATGGTTACGTTGTATATTCCATAGAGAACGTATCCGATATTCTCTATGAATTTGTGATCGTATTTGAGCACAACGGAAGTCACTTCAGACAACCCAAATATGGACCAAAACAAAGTCTTGAAACTTTCTTCTACTCTGTTGAAAGAATAAGGTACACAGTAAAGAAATGAAGTTTCCAGTACTAAAAAGTCAAAAGTAAACACAAGTTAGGATCTGAATACTGTCCAGATGTAAAACACCATTATGAAATACCGTCATCATAAACCCAGAGTAGGATTATTTTATCAGAACATTTAACAGAAATGTCACCCTCTCGGGTTTTCGGGAACTTGTGATTAAAAGGTGCCAATGGCCAGCTTTTCTGAACGTGACCATCGAGTGACAAGTCTCTGAACTCAGCAGAGGAAAGCTGAAGTCATGCCAGAACCTTCTAGAAGGATGGAAGTTTGGGGTTTGATTTCGTAGGTGGTTTAGAAATTTAAATCAGGTTTTCTGGAGTAGAACAAGGTCGGAATTTAAATTATATACTCCCTTCAAAAAAAGTCAGCACCAACATATTTCTTGTAGCACGGAAGTGGGGAGGCATGAGGATGCCCTAAATACCCATCCGTGCAGAGTGGCAACGTCACTCCGCTACATCCATATAATGGGACGCTATGCAGCCACTTGGGAAAATGACACAGATCTATCTTCATGTGTTTACGTAAAATGATACCTGAGCCATATTCTTAAGTGAAAAATAAGACACAGCAAGTGTGAAATAGTCTACCATTCAAATAAAAAAATGTGGAGTATACAACTACTTATATTCTCGTTTATGCGAAAAATAGCTCAGAAAGGACCCCCAAATCCCTGGCCCCTGGGAACTAAAGAGCACTAAGAGCCTGGGGTCCAAGGTGCGGAGGAGGGGACAGGCTCGTCACCATGGACGCTCCACACGAATCTTCTGTCACGAGAATGTATTACCCAGCTAAAAGTTACGCTTGCTACACATGAAGAGAGAATGAAAGATCCTTTTTCTTTTCCTGCGATTTATGTAATCTACTTCCCGATTCTTCCAGAGCAGCAATTAGCACGTAGGCCCTCACCAGACCGATTCCCTACCTCTATCCCTTAAATCGAACCAAATTTGGCTGGTTTTCTCACATAACTCAGTTGTAATCATTGGTGTGTCAACTGAAAAAATAATTCTTAAACAATTATACGTGTAGAATTCCACCGCAAAGGAAGAGTCAGATGTCCTTTTTCCAAAGAAAGATTTATGGAAAAAGTACTTTTTCGATTTCTTATAACAGATTCTAAATAACAATTCTATAGATTTATAGGTTTTAGCACTAGTTTACTCATTCGTTCATTCATTCAACAAATATTGACGGAGCACCCCTCAAGTTCTAGGAGTTTTGCTAGACCCTGGGGACGGGGGTTGCACAGCGGGGGGCTGTATCCCATTCCTACAGAGTTACTCTCACGCAGCACTTGATGATGTGCTGTCATAGCCCAGATACTGGAAGGAGAACCTCTTTGTTCCCGCCATTGATTTATCAGCATCACAGAATTCTCTGGCTCCTTCCGCCTGCTCCTTTGCCAACCTTCCCGCCCCGCACCGTCATGGAGAATCTACATGTGTGGGGAGAGGGGGTTTGTAAAAAGGCGGGCAGGACATACGGGCAGGTCCTGAGCTCCCACTGTGGGCACAAGGCTTTCCATAAGTCACCTTACGTCGTCCTCATGATGACCCGATTTAACCCCTTTCGTGCTTATTTTAAAAATCGGGAAACGAACACGGAGAAATGCTAATAACTTAACCAAAGGCCACACAGCAGCTGGCGAACAGCAGAGCCTGCGTCCGCATTCAGGTCTGCCTGATTTCTGAGCCTCTGTTCTTCCCACGACATCACGTTGCCTTGTCCTCACACAAAACCGTGAAGAAAATGTAAAGGATAAAATGAGTTCTCGTTGAGTTCAAAGGGGCGGGCCTGTGTGCAGGGTCTCTCGGCCCTTCCCTGCTGGGATCAAACAGGTTCTTTCCTTCATTACCATCAAGTGAGCTTCAGCTGTCTCCCACCCCTAAGACCTGCTCTACATTAACTATTTGAAAAAAATTCATTTCAAAACAACCTAGATGTCTGCAAGGGCTTGAGGTTTTATTTTAGTCTACAGGGAACTTACTGAACGTCTAGCTGGCTTCTAGCAGTGGCATAATGGGGGGCGGGGGGCGGGGAGGGCTTATGATCTCCCCAGCTGCAAGGGCCCAGCCCCAAGACAACTAAATCCCAACGGGTGGGAGCGAATCTCACAATCAGGATGTCTCCACACCGAGGGAACTTAAAAGGATGAAGACTAAGGAGGCGTAATCAAGGAAGGCTGCCTGGGGAAGGTGAGTCTCCAGTACAGACACCAGCAGGATGTGGGGAAGGAAACCGTGACAGCGGGCTGTGCACATTCAGCGAGAATTTCTTCTTACTTGGCTCCTGCACTGATTCACGATGCATTAAATAAGAGCTGATGCTTCTTTTTTGAAATAACGATTATGGCTACAAAATGATGAAACTGAATTTAATGTCACACATCATGTAAAGAGACATCCGGTATTAAAAACTTGTGACCCCATTCTCTCAAAATAGCCAATTTCACCTAGGATTTTTCCACATTCCGACTCATTCCGTGGTCAAATGCTCCCGAAACGCCGAGAGAGGGGCCTCCGCAGCGACCTAGTCACACACGGGCTCTAACTGGTTCCCACGGGGTGGCTTCCTGCTCTCAAAAACACCTTTCTTACAGTCTCTGAAAATGTTCCCTTTTCTTCATTGCACCTTTTAAAAAAGAAGATGTCTTACTTACGTGGTAAACGCAGCATTTACTTTAGCCCCAAGGTAGTAAGAGTAAAGTATGAACATGCCGATCATAAAGGCAAGAAACACCATAATAAAGAGGACCATGAACTTGAAGATGTCCTTCACGGTCCTGCCGAGAGAGATCTGTAAGGGGCCAAAGCTCTCGTTGGCAGGGAGGATGTAGGCGATCCGGGAGAAGCTGAGCACGACGGCTATGGCGTAGAGGCCTTCGGATATGATCTGAGGGTCGGAAGGGAGCCACTTATCCCTGGCTGGAGTGGGGGGGGAGAGAGAGAGAGGGAGGGAGGGAGGGAGAGAGAGGGAGGGAGAGAAGAGTCTTCTCTTTGGGGAAAAATGGAAATTTAATCAGATCAGTTTTTATAGTGCAAATAGAAAATCAGTTTTAATAAAGCCAAAAGGAAATGCAGAACAGCCGCTTGAGATGGAGATTGTGTTAAACAGACAGCTCTTTAGGAGTAGCCGAGTCTGGGATGTTTGTTGTGCACAGACAGAGCAAGGAGGGGGATTTCTAGCTGAATTTCAAATAGGCATTTGATTTGGCTTCGGCGATGGGGGATGAGCCCCTCCTCGGCCATCCCCCCACCCCCA